GATAAACAACAATAACAAACAAACAAAAGCCTTGATTTGCCATAGTGAAGGATTCTATAGGCAAAATATTAAACCATGCAGGAAGCATCCAAAAAGATGGACAGGATACCCAGAGTTACTGTGCCAAAAGGAGCTAGTTGCCATTCAATCTCAGGAGTGCCTATGAACAAGAACCAACAGCACTGAAGGAAGAAGGATGCTGCACTGAAAGAGTTAGTCAAGGACAAGGCTCCAGGAATGTTTGGAATAACAATTGAAGTGTTTCAGCCAGCTGATGAAGCACTGGAAGCACTCACTCATCCATACCAGGAATTTGGGAAACAGCTGCTTGGCAAGCTGCTTGGAAAAAGTCCAAATTTGTACCCATTCCAAAGAATGGTGACCCAATAGAATGCCAAATTATAGAACAATATTATTAATATCACAAGTAAAATTTTGCTGAAGATTATTCAACATTTGTTGTGGCGGTACATTGACAGGGAGGTGCCAGAGGTTCAAATTAAATTCAGAAGAGGATGAACAAGGGATATCATTGCTGATGTCAGATGGATCTTGGCTGAAAACAGAGAATACCAGAAATATGTTTACTTGTATTTTATTTACTATGCCAAGGACATTCAACTGTGTGCTCATAGCAAACTATGGATGGCCTTGAAAAGAACGTGAATTCCAGAACACTTAATTGTGCTCATGTGGAACCTGTACATGGATCAAGAACACAACAAGAGAACATTGCATGGTTTAAAATCTGGAAAGGTGTGTGCCAAGGTTGTATCCTACTGAGCTGTGTGTTGAGCAAATAGCCAGAAATACTGGATTCTATGAAGAAGAATGTGGCATCAGGGTCAGAGGAAGGCTTGTTAACAACCTGTGATATGCGAATGACACAACCTTGCTTGCTGGAAGCGAGGAAAACTTAAAACACTTGCTGATAAAAATCAAAGATAGCAGCCTTCAGTACGGATTACAATTCAATGTAAATAAGATGAAAATTCTCACAACTGGACCAATGGGTAACATCATGAAAAACAGAAAAAAGGTTGAAGTTGTCAAGGATTTCATCTCACTTGGGTCCACTCAGTGCCCATGGAAGCAGCAGTCAAGAGAGGATCTGTTGCATGGGGTTAATCTGCTGCACAAGACCCCTTTAAAGTGTTGAGGAGTAGGGTGCATCTCATACAAGCCATGATATCTTCAGTCAGTTCATATGCATGTGAAAGTTGGACATTGAATAAGGCAGATGGGAGAAGAATCATGCATTTGAATGAAGGTGCTGATGAAGAATATTGAAAGTACCTTGGACTGCCAAAAGAACAAAGAAATCTATCTTGGGAGAAGTACAGCCAGAATGCTGCTTAGAGATAAGGATGGGGAGACTTTGTCTCACGTACTTTGGCATGTTGTCGGGAGAGACCAATCCTGGAGAAGGACACCATTCTTGGAAAAGTAGTTGATAGGTGCCATCAAGTTGGCTCCGACCCATAGAGACTGTGTGCACAACAGAAGGAAACACTGCATGGTCCTGTGTCATCCCCACAATTGTCCTTATGCCTGAGCCTATTGATGGAGCCACTGTGGTCGAGGACCATCGTTTTCCCCTGACCCCCACTTTACCAAACATGATGGGAAAAAAGAGGGACAGCAAAGAGAGAGGAAGGCCCTTGACGAAATGGACGCACAGTGGCCGCAACAATGGCCAAACGTAACGATTATGAGAATGGTGCAGGACTGGTAGTGAGTTTCTTTTCTGTACATCGCCTTACTATAACTCGGAACCAACTCGAGCAACAAGGAAATCGGCAGCCTCTGGCACTGGTCTGAGGATTAAATGAATCAGTAATACAGAGAGAGCTTAGCCCGTGCCTGGGCATAGGCAGCACATCGGTTTGCTACTCTTCTGTCTGACATGAACATTATTGCATACTTGGATCGGTGATCAGGTCCCTATCACATGCTTGTTTCACTGAGATAGGGATATTTCTCTTAAAACTAGTAAGTGATTACAGGACAAAATGGCGTTCCTTTGATTTCACTTTTAGCTTTCTTGTCCTCACCCTTGCTGCTACTTATAAATCTTTTATCGGTTTAAAAAAGCTGTTTGAAAGGGTCACAGGTACTTCTTTGAAGGTAGTGGAAATGAACATTTTAGTCGTGACAAATACTGGTTGCTTGAAAAGTGATGAGCCGTGTAATGGAAGTTTTCATATAAGTGACTTCATGCTTATGAGGAAAAACCCAGCTTTTTTGTGTGTTTTGTCTTTACCGCATAGGCTAGTTTTTTAAGGAGTCCCGATGTAGTGGTTAGGTGTTGGACTGCTAACTGCAAGGCCGGCAGTTCAAACCCACAAACTGCTCTGCTGGAGAAAGAAGAGATTTACTACTGCTGTAAAGATTTACAGTCTCAGAAACTCACAGGAGCAGTTCTACTCTGTCCTGTAAGTTGACTGTGAGTCGGATTCGAGTCCGTGGCAGTGAGAGGCTAATTTCTTTGAATTCCAGTTTTATTGAATTGATTAAAATAAAAACAATTCCACTCTTTCTGACTTGATATGTAAATCCTTGGAAATAAAGAATTTTCTAGTTAATAGTTCGATTTTGTTTTTTGTGATGCAAGCTTTATGTTGTTAATAAATGTGTTTTCTAAAAGTCCATAAACTAACTTCTGTTCTGGAAGTCCTTCCATCTGTGCTCTCTGTTTAAAGGTTCTATCAGTGGCCCTCAACCTTCCTAATGCTGAGACCCTTTCATACACTTCCTCATGTTGTGGTGACCCCGGATGTGGGCATATCTGCATGTGGGCAGACCCGCCTGGAGATGGATAGAGTAGCGGTGTCTGGGTTCCTAAGACCATCAGAAACATGGTCTTAGGTGACCCCTGTGAAAGAGTCGTTTGACCACCCCCTGCCCCTCCCCCCCCAAGGGGTCACGACCTACAGGTTGAGAACCGCTGCTCTGTATGGGCTTTAGAAAATTCTCAAATTCACATTGGTAGACTGTAGTATTTTGAGTGAAGCTTGACTTTTGAAATAAGCTCCTTTTGAAGACAAAGTTTCCTTGCCCTTCTTTCATCAGACCGGAAACACTGAGTGACAGCTTAGTTGCTTTTGGGAAAAAAGCGAACATCCTCTTCTTTTGGTAAGTTATTGAAATTTGTTATGAGTTTTCAAATGGATTTTTAAAAATTAGGAAGATAATTGCAAGTTAATCAGTGTGAAATATAAGGATGTCTCGGATTAATAGCTAACTTTAATTGATACTGTATTCTCTAACGTTTCTAGAATAACAAACACTTTCTGTTTCTCAGTTATGTGGATAATCATCTAACACAGACTATACTATCAAAGAATTCGGTGTTTTTATTTTTTCTAAAATGGAATTCATTGTGTTAAAATCACCCTCTCTCTTCTCTCAACTATTCTTCAGAGAACTCAACAGGAAAGCAAAATTCAGGTAGTACATTAATTAGATTTATTTCAAGCTACATTTCCCCCCAGTAAGTTGAAATTATTGTAATTTTTGCATCATTTTAGATGAAGGAGGTTTTTAGGTAAATTTTGGCAGCCTTAACCAATATACTTTTGTGCAAAATTAATTGTACAAGTATGTTTTTGATACACTAAGAAAGTAAGCTTCTTTTGAATAAAGTAAAATCCTTCTTAGAACCATATATTTTCCTTAAGTCATATATTCAACAAAACATTAATACTAAATATGAAGTTAATGTTGAGTGACTAAATAATGTAATTTCTGATTGCTTTCAGAAAGTGCCTTAGTTAGCCTGGTAGATTTGTTTAGAGCTGAGAGTGTAATGTAAATGAAAAGTGTGTGATTTAAAATTTTTACAGTTTGGTCTATTATTGCAGGCATATAATGTATGCACCTTTCCTGCTTGTATGCACCTTTCCTGCTTGCTTTTAGCCTTAACTTTAAGTAGAAGAGGTCACTAAACGAGTCCTCTGTGCTTCTCATCAGTTTTTTGTGCACTGGCACTTTTGAGAAGTAAAAGAAAGAGGAATATAATCAACCTAGATAAATTAATACAATTGTTGGAAGGCTGAAGGACTCCTAGGTTTATTATCAACAGCAGTTTTGAAGTAGCTATAACTTGAAATTTTAAATAAGCCTGAGTCAGGTTTCCCAGTTTATGAAACAAGGGGGAAGGGCCGAATAGAGACATAACAGCTGCAAGGCTTTCTCTGGGGCTGGGTGGTGGAGGCGGGCAGTGGGTGGTCGGAGGGGGGGCTGGGGAGGGGAATGGAGGAGCACACAATGAATGGGGGAGGAAGGAGGAAGCACTACCACTGACTGTCATAACGCTAGACAACTCTTTTTAATAGTGACTTAACAATGGGAGAGCTTTATATCAAGAAAACTATGACTCAAAAAACCCAAACAAACCAAGGTTGACTAATGACTGCTAGGGGTGAAGGAGGAAGAGTTGTGGTTCAGAGGGCACTGCGTTCATAGAATGGTGGTAGAATCATTTGGAAAAAGATATCAATAATAGTTGCATAACCTTGAATAATCAATGGTATTGAAACATACATGTAGAAGGTATTGAATTGGAGAATGTTTTGATGCATATAGTTTTCCCAGAGGTTAAAAAATAATAATTACACTAATAATGAGTACAAGGAAGAAGAAAATATGCTAAAATTAATTGTGGTAATGACCGTACACACTCCTTGATATGACTGAATTATTGAACTGTATGATGTGGAAGAAGTGCCAATAAAACTGTAAAAAGAGAAATAAAAGTAATTCTCAAAAAAAATCCTGATAAAACAGAATGAACTAGTTTTTATAAAATTAGATGCTATGATATGTTTGTGTTTTTGAGCACTCAGTCTTTAAAGCATGCTTGCTTTCAATTAGTATTTTTTTTCTTTAATATCATTAGTATTAGCTTCAGGTAAAATAGTGAAATTCCTTTTTTCCCCCAGCTGTGAAAATCTGCTGTTTTCGTTTGTTCATGATTTAATGTTCCATTGCAGAACGAAATGGGAAATGCCGATGCAGGAAAGAAGATCTTTATTCAGAAATGTGCTCAGTGCCACACAGTGGAAAGCGGTGGCAAACACAAGACGGGTCCAAATCTCTGGGGCCTCTTTGGACGGAAAACAGGAGAAGCACCAGGATTCTCATACACTGATGCAAACAAAAGCAGAGGTGAGATCCAGCCCTGGGGAAAGGACTGGATACTTTGCAGCAAAAGAGGAAGCCCGTGATTTGATATTATAATAATTTCTCATTTTGCAGCATTGAAAGTGAGTTTCTTGTATTTATATTAGTGAGATACTTGTTTATATTATATCATATGACCTGCCATCTTTTTGATCAGAGCAATTCACTATATTGTATAGCATAGAGTTTTGAACTCACAGGTATTTCTTTTTGCAATGGATTTATGCTGAAAAGATGGAGTTCAATTTTTTTTAAATCATTTTATTGGGGGCTCGTACAACTCATCACAATCCATACATACATCCATTGTGGGTCAAGCACATTTGTACATTTGTTGCCCTCATCTTTCTCAAAACATTTGCTTTCTACTTGAGCCCTTGGTATCAACTCCTCATTTTATCCCCTCCCTCCCCGCGCCCCTTCCCTCATGATAATTTATAAATTATTATTGTTTTTTCATGTCTTACACTGTCCGACGTCTCCCTTCACCCACTTTTCTGTTGTCCGTCCCCCAAGGAGGAGGTTATATGTAGATAAGTTCAATTTTTAAAATGCAAATAATATTTTAATGTTTTCTGTTTGTAACCGTGATTCTTAGCAGAGTTAGGGGTGGTGGTGGATACTATATAGGTTGAAAAAAAAAATTCAACACTTTCTTTGTTGGTGGAAAGAAAATAATAGATAGAAGTTAAAGTATATTAGGGTTTAGAGATTGAAAATAGCTTTAAAAAGGCATTAGTATCTTTGCAAGAAAATTTATCATACCTGGACTTCTATCTTTCTTGTTAACTGAATTGGCTTATATATATATTTAATATTTGGAGTTTTCTTTGGGAGCTGCCATTCCTTCTAGGCTTGAATGTCAAATCACAGTTGTTGGGAAATGTCTTACAGGTAGTTTATTGGCTGGTATTTGACTCCTATTAAAATTATGCAAGTTCAGTATTTTAAAATTTCCTGATGAAAATTTTGTATTTTAAAATTTCTAGTGAAACACTGTAATACTTTGAAGAATACATGAACTTGAACTGGTAGGTGAGGGGCTAGGGAGGGGAGACATGACTTGGACGTTAATCTTTTGGAGTGCATTTGTAATAATAGCTTATGTTTTCTTGAAGGGGAGATTCCGCTTTATTTAACTTGTACTAAGATTTCTATGAAGAAAGATAAGATAGTGAAGTTTTTGCTGTCTGACATTTTAGGGGAAAGGAACCTCCAAATATTTTGATTAAAACTAAAAGCACATTGTAGGGATTGCCAATTTAAATTATTTCTGTTTGTGAGTATGCGTTTTATATGTGGAAATAAGATTCTTTTCATGATTCAGACTAGGGTGAAGACCTATAAAATTCTTCCTTTCCTAGACTTCTCTTGGGGTTTCAAGCTAGTTACAACAGGTGGGATAGAACAAATGGTAAATGTTGTGTTGTTACCAACCGTTGTGTCCATTCTGGCTCACGATGACTAACGGTGAAAGTTGTGCAGCCCTGTACAATGATTGGTACGTTTGAGTCTCAAAGGGTCATCTTCCAGCACTATATTGAACAGTATCCTGTTATGACTCAATAAAGTTTTCATTGGCTAATTTTCAGAAGTAGATTGCTAAGCCCTTCTTGCCATTCTTAGTCTGGAAGCGTCTCTGAAACCTGTCCACCATGGCTGATCCTGATGGTATTTGAAATCTAGGTTTCACCTGCTATCTGAAAATAAAGTATTGCTATGTAACCTGCTGTAAGCAGAACTGGAACCAAACAAAGAAACAATGGCTATTTATTTATCAGGAAAAGGAGACTTTAGGCAAGATGGCAGACTGGCAGACATGCTATACAGACCCTGTACATCAAAGACATCAGAGATCCAGAGGACCCCTAAGCGTCATAGGAAAGGATAGGAAAATGGATTGATATTTAGTGGGAGAGGAACCTGAGCAGGAACTGTGAGAGATGACATTGGCAGAGCAGGTGAATTGTCTGCTGGCTTGACCCAGTGCGACCACCTTGAACTTTAGTGAGCAGCATTTGATAGGGACAGTGGCTTGGCAGCACAGGCTCACACTGGTGGCTGGTGGTAAAGGTGCCATCTTCTCTTATTGGCCACACCCTCCTGATGACCAGAAGCATGACCAGCCTCTACCGTTCCCACCCATTGGCCAGACATTCCCCACCTCACACATGCATAGCCCATGTTCTGCCTTAGGTCAGAATTGTGCCCTCATGGATTGGACTCCTGGTGTACTACTCCCACATCTAGAGGTGTATGAACTTCACCTTATCAGGGCAGCAGAATGCATGGTGCTGGGTTCCTGGTTACCCCTGGGTCGACAAAAACTTCAGTAGCCCTGCCATGCCCCCAGCTTCTCTTAAGGCCTGAATGATTATGGGAATAAGCAGTCTGACCTCAGCCACCCTCTGAGCGATCATTAACTGCCTCCAGATCAGGTGCCCTGACCTCAGCCACACCATTCAGAACTACTCCCTGTACCTTTCATGAGCTCCTTGCCTGACAGAGTGTACCAACCTGTACTGGGTGCCCCACCCTCCCCCCACCCCATTTTCTCCTGAGTCTTGCTCCCACCCATTTTCCTCTTTCTTAGGATTTTCTTTCTCACCCCTGTTTTTATTCTTTTCTCTGATTCATTTGTCCTTCTGTTTCTCTTTTCTTTTTCTCTATCTTGTCTTATTCTCTTAGTTTTTCTTTACCCCCACCCCACCCCCATTTCCCCTCCCTAGTTTTATTTATAGTTTGTTCTCTTGATTTTTATTTCCATTTCCCATTTTTTCAGTTATTAAACTATTCTTTTGTCTGCTTTCCCCTGCTTTTCTTCTTCTTCTTTATATTTCCTGTTTTTGCTGTTTCCCTTTCCTATTTTTTCTTTGAGTTTCACCTGACAAGAAACTACAACCTTGCCCACATGGCCCAGCCACACCTGTACCTCCTATAGTCCCACCTCCTGGGTGAGGGCCACTACCAATTTTAGTCCCTCCTGATCATTGGCAGATGGCCAAACCAGCCAGACCTATCCTCCACAGGACTACACAAACAGCAAATAGAAAACTGCGCACAATCACATTCTCCATGACACCAACTAAGAGATAGGTGGTGCATGCCTAAGACCACACCCACATACCCCCATCAGGTAAGTACAAAGGCAACAATGCCACATTGTCTCAGCATCAGCAGACCACTTTAGTTCATATGAGAAATTCCAGTGTCTGAAACAAATGACCAGAATTGAGTCATAAGACCTTTAGAGGAAGAAATGTCATTGGAACTTCCTGAGAAGGAATTTAAAAATGGATGTATTTTTAATAAACTTAGAAAATTGAATAAGCTGCTCACAAAACTAAGGAAAATACAGGGGGAAAAAAACTTTAGAAGAATTCAGAAGACACTTCAAGAACAAGCTGATGAAACATTTCCCCAGGCAAAGACCCCAAACGCATCTGTAGATAATAGGACATCCCCTCACAGAAGGGTCACCAATGAAACACAATATTCCTCTGGTTCATTGAGAACTCCTCACCCCCCACTATCATGACCCCAGTCCTGCCTTTCAGTTCTGCCCAAACTGGAGCATGTACATTGGTACAGGTAAGAACTCATGACACATGGAATCCAGATCAGATAAACCCCTCAGGAATAGAAATGGGAATGGCGATACCAGGAGGGTAGGGGAAAGGGGAGGGGAGGAGGGGAGGAAGGGGACACGGATCACAATGTTTGATGCATTAACACCAACCCCCACCCCCACCCCACGACTACCACCACTGGGATGAACAACAGAAACATGGGTGAAGGGAGACAGCAGTCAGTGTAAGATATGAAAATAATAATGATTTATAATTTATCAAGGGGTCATAAGGGTGGGGGCTGGGGGAAGGAGGGGAAAAAGAGGAGCTGATACCAACGGCTCAAATAGAAAGTAAATGTTTAGAAAATGATGATGGCAACATATGTACAAATATGCTTGATAGAGTTGATGTATGGATTGTTATAAGAGCTTTAAGAACCCCCAATAAGACCAGATTTCAACCCAGTGCAACAAGACATGAATGCAACATACCAGCATGAAGCAGGAAACCAATAGAGAGGTCTGAGGGCTGGCCCCAATTCCAACTACATGGCCACCACACCCCTCCCCCCAAAAGAATTCTCTTCAGAAGACAGCACTGAAGCTACAGCCCAGGGAGAGGGGCACTCTGAGCAGAGCACACAGGAGCAAACAAAGAGGAAGGAGAGAGAGTGGAACATATCCTAGCCCATCAAGCTCTGACAACCTGCTCAGAGCAGCCAATGCACAGAGAGGACCATAAGGCTGGCCCCAGCACGAGACATGACGTCCCTCTTTGACCCAAAGTGCTACAAGGGACAACAGTGGAGGCACAGTGTGGGAATTGTGCTGGATCTGAACCCACACACCGGGGCAAAATGCTAAGGGCGTGCAACAAGAGCAGCAAGGGGAGCAAAGCAATGAAGTTCCCGGGGAATACCAAAAATGGACTTTGGGTCCAGGCTGTGACACCCCATCAGACTGGACTGGGAAACACTCGTAAAGGTCAACAAACAGACCTGAAACTATTTATATATAGGTTTTTCTTTTTTGTTGTTATTGGGTTTTTTGTTGTTGTTTTGTTTTCTTCTGTTGTTTGGTTTTCCTTTGTCTTATTTTGTGCTTATTAATGTCTCTGCATGTCTATCTAGATAAGATAGGTGGGATAAACAATCCACAGGAGAAAACAATGGGACCAGTGGTTCAGGGGAGGACATGGGAGAGGGGGAGTTAGGGGAAAGGAAGTGGGTGTTAACAAACCCAGGGAAAAGGGAACAACAAGTGATCTAAAATCGACAGCAAGGAGGGTGTAGGATGCCTAGTGGGGCTGGATCAAGGGCAGTGCAACCGAGAGGAATCACTGAAACCCAAGTGAAGGCTGAATATGATAGTGGGACAAGAGGAAAGTAAAAGGAAATAGAGGAAAGAACTAGAAGACAAAGGGCATTTATAGAGATCTAAATACAGACATGTACATATGTAAATATATATGTGATGATGGGGAAATAGATTTATGTACATATATGTTAAGTATTAAGGTAGCAGATGGACATTGGGCCTCTACTCAAGTACTCCCTCAACACAATAACACTTTGTTCTAATAACCTGGCATTCTGTGATGCTCACCTTCCCGACAAGATCACTGAAGACAAAATGGGTACACAGCAAATGTGGTGAAGAAAGCTGATGGTGCTCAGCTCTCAAAAGATACAGTCTCTGGGGTCTTAATGGCTTGAAGACAAACAAGTGGCCATCTAGCTGAGACAAAAGTCCATATGGAAGAAGCACTCCAGCCTGTGTGATCATGAGGTGTCGATGGGATTAGGTATCAGGCATCAAAGCCCAGGACAAAAAAAACCATATCAATGTGAATGAGGGGGAGTGAAGAGTGGAGACTCAAAGCCCAACTGTAGACAATTGAACATCCCCTTAAAGAAGGATCAGAAGGAAGAGACGAGCCAGTCAGAGTGCAGTATAGCAACGATGAAACATACAACTTTCCTCTAGTTCTGTAATGCTTCCTGTCCCCCACTATCATGATCCAAATTCTACTTTACAAATCCAGTAGACCAGAGCATGTACACTGGTACAGATAAGAGCTGGAAACACAAGGAATCCAGGACAGATAAACCCCTTAGGACCAATAATGAGAGTAGCGATACCAGGAGGGTAAGGGGCAGAGGGGGCAGAAAGTGGGAACCGATCACAATGATCTACATATAACCCCCTCCCTGGGGAATGGACAACAGAAAAGTGGTGAAGGGAGACATCAGTCAGTGCAAGACATGAAAAAATAATAAATGTATAAATTATCAATGTTTCGGGAGTGGGGAGAGGGAGAGGGAGGGGGAAAATGAGGAGCTAATAGCAAGGGCTGAGGTAGAAAAAATGTGTTGAAAATCATGATGGCAACAAATGTACAGACATGCTTGACACAATGGATGGGTGTGTGGATTGTGATGACAGTTGTATGAGCCCCCAATAAAATAATTTTTAAAAAAAGAACCCCCAGTAAAATGATCTTTAAAAACCCCCAACATTTCCCGGATTCACGAGACTGACACCACATACCAAAACCTTCGGGACACCACAAAAGCTGTGCTCAGATGGCAATTTATAGCAATACATGCAGACATCGAAAAAGAAGAAAGAGCCACAAGTAGAGAAAGAGCAACAACACAAACCTACAGTAACTTGAAGAACAAAGATCAGCCAAGAGGCAAACTGTATTTGTAGATGATGTGATCCTACGTGTAGAAAACCCCAAAGACTCAGCAAGATACCCCTGGGCCGCCAGTGGCCCCCAAGGTAATAACATGAAACTAGGAAAAAGATTATTATGAAGAAAATAGCACTTAGGGGAGATTGAGACAATATCGTACACACAATTCCCTCGTTACGTTTTATTTGAGCATCGTGGGCCACAAAAAATTACCTCGGGGGCCCGCATGCGGCCCGTGGGCTGCCAGTTTGACACCCCTGCTTTACACTAACAGAGATCCGGAAAAGAAATCAGGAAAACAATACCATTTATAGCAGCCACATCTAAAGAGGGCACGGAGGTGGCAGCTGACCTCCCCTGCACAAGGGGCAAGAAGAACCAAACTCAACATCAGTCAAAAGCCAATTCCTGGGAGGCTGCAGTCAGACATGACTTCACCCTCCAACCTTCTTTGTTAATTTTGACACCAACTGTGTCTCCCACAGCACTCGGCTTCTCTGCTGAGTTGGAAAATTCATTACAACGGCTACACAGAACTCAAAATATTTATGGTGATAGGATTTATGAGGGAAATTAGCAGGTTACAATTCGGAATCAGAAATGCTCAGGATACAGTTCCTCTGGTCAGCAGTGCCTCTTCTTGCTGTGCGTGTGGACCTGCCACTCTGTCAGTTGTTGTTCCTTCTTTGTTTGCACCGTTTGCATGCCCAACACCAGTCACTGTGCATGCATCTCGATTGCATTTTGATCAGTTTTGTACTTCCTGGTACAAAGTCTTTAATGTCCTCATCCTTGACATTCATGGTTGGTGCGTAAATTTGATTAAGAGTATTCCCTGACCTTCCTTGACCTACCGTACCCTGACTGCATTTCAGGACAGAGCCTGAAAAGTTCTTTGTGATGATGAATGTGATGGCATTCCTCCTCGTTTGGCCATTTCATAATGGCAAATACCGGTTCATTTAAGCTCATGAATGCCGAGGATCTTGATCTTTACGCATTCTAAATGAGACGTTGGGTTATCCTTGTTTCTTATAGTGGAGGCTACTACCCCCTGGAGGGTGCTGGGATGATCGAGGGACCGACAAACACAAAAGATACCTACACTTTATCCAGAATTACGGGCTAGAGTACAAAAGTTTTTCATCACCACATGTGTTATCTCAAATAACATTCTCCACATTTTCTATTTAGATTCTCTACTTCATTGTAATGGCCACACAATTTCCAGACGATGTTCACAATTATAGAGTTTATTGTGGACGTTAGCAGCTTACAATTCAGGGTGAAATGTTCAGGATACTGATGTTCAATCAGGACATGTTTGCCAACTTCTTTCAAGGCTGCGAATAAATGCCTCAAAGGCATGCCACTGGGCTGTCAGTCTCAATGGAAGGAATTTAGGTAAGCTCCATCGGTCAGTGACTCCAATTCAGTAAGCCACAACTTGAAGGCACTCAACTTCGCCTGGGGTAAATAAGTCTAGCTCTCCCTCAAGTGCTCTGCGGCACCCCAACAAGCCTCCTGTCCCAAAGAGCTCGGCTGTATTAGCGGTGTGCGCTGGGCAGACTGCCTGTCGGTCTCCTGCTCTGGCTCTCGTTCTGTTGCTGCTTCTCTGACGGCACAGCTGTCTTTCAGATCAAGGAGCATCAGGGATCCTGGTACAGAGGGCTCCCAACACACCTGGCTCTTGCTAGTAGTGAGATCTCCCCTTATGCTGATCAGAGGGCACATTTTATACCCCGCAGGATGGCAATCCAGTGGATCCTATTAACAATTACCCGTGCGTGAATCTTATCAGTATCTTCCTCCGTTTTCCTACCCAGACCCGTACAGAAAAAGGTCCTTTGGTGGAAGTTGCTTTGGCTAGAAGAGCTATGTTGAATAATTCTCTGTCCCTGGGGGGCGGCGGTTGGGGGTGCAGGACTGAGTTTTTATTTTCATTTTTTTTCCTAAAAGGGGGCAGTAGGCCAAATAAGTTTGAGAGCCTTGTTTAGGTTAAATGAACACTGAAGTCTCTTCTAGAAGGACCTGCTTGTGATGCTAGGAGGAGGAGTACTGCTTAGGCACAATATTTCTGGGGCTGTGGTTTCCTTGTGACTTGAATACTTCTAGTCACCCTGTTAGTACTCGATTTCTACAGGTAGCCAGAACTGGAGCCCCAAAGACGAACTCGGGAATTTCCTTATGAGTGAGAAACCATCAATGTTCTTAGCTATAACCCTCCTATAGAGTCCAAGTGTAATCTTGATCCACACATGTGGGTGACATCAAAAAAGCAAATACTGCAAATGTGATTTCAAAAACTTATTTTCACCTTTGTAGGCATTGTCTGGGGAGAAGAAACTCTAAATGAATATTTGGAGAACCCAAAGAAGTACATCCCTGGGACTAAAATGATCTTTGCTGGTCTCAAGAAGAAGAGTGAGAGAGAAGACCTTATTCAATATCTGAAAGAGTCAACATCTTAATGAGATACTCATTAGTACTTCAAAAATACTAGTGATAAGCCACGTTTTTCTAATTTCAAACATTACATATTTTAAAAAGTGCTATTTGATCTTTTTTGATCAACCTGTAGTCACTTTCACAGTTAAAAATAAAAGTTGGTAGTTTTCATTGTGTGTATTGTTCTGAGCGAGTGCCCTTCAGAGCTTCGGAGCCTGAGCTTGCTTTTGCCTGTTTACGAAGGATGGGCATCAGGACAGAATGGAGGCGGAGAGGGAAAAGGACTGAACCCTGCTATACTTTAGTGGTCTCTACATACACAAAAAGTCGTATATGCTTAGCAACCGCTGTTGATTGTTGAAATAGCTTCCATAACCTTACCTCTCAGTAATTTAAAGGGAAACACTTAGTTTTCAGTAAGCTGTGTTTGGTTATTTATTTAGTCATATATTTTCCTTTTATTATGAACAATACTTAACTGAAGAAGTAATGCTGGGAAAATTTTGCTCATTTTATCTTAGGAATAGATAAAAGCCAAATTGCTGACCACAAATGACATCAAAATATAAGGTAGAGAGAAGGAGAAAGGAAAGCGTGTTACTAAGCCTTTACATTATAAAGCGTGTTACTAAGCCTTTATATTATAAAGTGTGTTACTAAGCCTTTATATTATAAAGCGTGTTACTAAACCTTTATATTATAAAATACATACTCATTTTGCATTAAATTAACCTTTTGCATCCCGAGTCATGTCGGGAGAGAGAACATGGACCCCGAGAGAGGCTCATCAACTGGAGAGTCAGTCGAGGCGAGGGCAATATGGTAGGGCAAGTCCGGACCCCAGCTTGTGTGGAAGGAGCAGGGGCCCTGGGTTGTGTGAGGCAGCGCTTGCCGCAGCTGTGCAGCCGGCAAGTTGCCTGTTACCCAAATAAGGGGGTCCAAGCAAGAAGGCGGCGCTGCTGCTGCTACTGCAGCAGGGCAGGCTAATGGGCTGGTCAGGGATGGTTACGAGGTCAGGGTGGGCACGCGGTATCTCGGTATCTCATTGGCACTGCTCCTTCGAGGTAGGGGTTCCTCTTTAGATGGAGACTGGTAGCGATCTGGTGCCCAAAGCAAAACGTGTCTCTGGTTTTCTAATTCCCGGGACCTGTTCACGGTGTCGTGGAATTTGTCAGCTGAGAAAATCGAACAGAAGGTTTTCAGTCTGAGGGGTTCACGGTTGAAAAAGCAGTGATTTCCAGAAGAGGGTGAATATTAAATGTGCCCACTCCCCAGGCCGCCCTGCGATGTTTCTGGAAAGCAGCGAGAACGTACTTCCCTGGCAGGGAGCAGACAGTGCTGGGGTGGAGAATGTATCCCTGGGGGCCCGGAGAGGGCTTCCGGCAAAACTGAGCTTGTTAACTCTCTCCCTGGGGCACTTGTTAGGTGGGGGCAGAAACTCCGAGGCGCTGGAAGCTGAGTGGGAGTTACTAGGAGGTGTAACTAGCTAACCCACCTCATTGTCCGACTGGCAGGAGAACGGAAAGATCTCGAGAAGGCAGCTGAACTCAATTCACATTCACGCTGACAGTTCAGATTCATAGAACAACAGGCGTGGCATTGCCAGAAGCTACCTAGCAACAAGAAGCAAGGCAGCCTCACGTTTAGAGCCTAAATACTTTTACTTTTGACTTACGGAAAAGGAAAGATAGATAAGGAGAGCTGGGTCGCTGTAAGGTGTCGAATCTTGCTTTAAATTTATGTTTACCTTCCCCAAAGCCACTGCTGTTGCGATGATTCCAACTTGAACAACCGGTAGGAGCGAGCAAAACTGCTCAGTCCGGTTTCCAGGGTGTGCATTTTCCTGGGAGCGTCTCATCTTTCTCTTAAGCAGTTGATGCCTTCAAATCACCAACCTTTTGCTTAGCAGCCCAAGGCTTAACTCACTGCACTACTAGGGACCCTATATCTCCCTTCAAAACTAACCAACTAGCCTTCACCAAGTCAATTCCAACGCATGGAGATCCTAGAGAACAAAGCTGATAGATTTGCCACTGTGAGCCCCCACGGCTGGGAATCTGAATGTGAGAGAACACTTCACTTTTCTCTCTCCCAGGGCCTGGTGGTTCCAAACTGCTGACCATGTGATTAGGAGCCCAACTCGGAACCACTGTGCCACTAGGGCTCCGTGTTTATTTTATGTAAATGCTTTGATGTAGGAAATACAAGAGCAAAATAAGTACCCCTTTTCTGGTAGCTATGTCTCCTGTATCCAAATATTTTAAAAAAGGAAGAAAATTTACAAATGAATACAGTAATTAAAATTCTGCATGGTGGCAGGCTTCATGATTGGGTATTCAAGTATGTTACCTTTGAGAGACAAATTCATCTTAGGATCAATTTGTCTGGAGGGACTTACAGTAACGCAATGATTTTCTATCGCACCAATTTAGAACTGTGTTTCCTAGCAGTCTCTTCTCGATATGGTTCTAGTTAGGATTGGCCACTGAGAAATTTAGCTGAGATTTAGAAGCCAGAAGAACGAAGCAGAAGCCATTATATTCAGAAGGTGCGTTTCCCCAGGTGCAGTTCAGGTGCGGTGACCCCTCTGTCCCTGCTCTGTTGGTTCACCTTTGTGGAGTGGGACAGCAGGCAGGCCTGCTCCTATTGTGGCTTCTGTGAGGGTTCTCTTAGTTTCTGCTACTTCAAGGCTTGGTGTTTGGAGGGCTTTGGGGTGAAGGGCCCAGTTTGTTTAGGTTATCCATATCATTAAGGCTAGAGGTAGGAAGAAGTGACATGGGTCCCAGTTTGTTCTCAGAGATTTGTCCTTCCCCTCTGTGTCCTAATGAAGTGGCACAAACTAGGGGGTTTAAAACAAATTTACTTCCTCACAGTTTGGATGCCAGAAGTCAGGAATGAAGATGCTGTCATGGTTGCTTCCTTCCGGAGGACTCTCAGAGCGTCTGTCCCGCCTCTCCTAGTTTATGATGGTTTCCCATAATCCTTGGTGTTCCTTGGTTGACAGATGCATCACTCCCATCCCCGCTTCCATCTGCATGAGGTGTTTTCCAGTGCGTGTCTCTGTGTTTCTGCTTATATGGACTCTAATCATATTGGATTAAGGGCCCACCCTATTCAAGGATGACCTCATTGTAGCTAATTACTTTCGTGAGGACCTGTTTCTAAATAGGGCTGCGAAGTTCTGGGAAGAACTTGAATTTTTTGTCTGTTTCTTTGGGACATAATCCAACCCAGTACATTCTCCTAGCTTCGCGTCGGCCGGCCATTCTTCCCAGCCTGACCTGTCCTGATGAGATCGACAGCAACGTTAAGTTCATCGCCAGATGCAGGGCCAATGATTCCGTTTTCTTCACTAGCTGCCTTTTGTGGACTTAGTGTTTTGCTTTAATCCTTGAGCAGTTACTTTCGAGACCTTTGTCTTCCCAGGTTCTCCAAAAATTATGTAAGGTGTGTTGCTGTCGTCGATCCCAATATATCACGTAGCGTGTCCTGGTGGAACCGTGCTGCACAGGGCTTCCTGGCCATGTCCTTGCAGAAGCACGTCATCAATCACTGCTGCCGAGGAGCCTCTGTGTTGTCAAACCGCCCACCCGCTAGCTACTAGTTGGGCAGCTCGCTCACTGCCATCAAGTCCATGCGTACTCATGGTGACCCTCTCGGGCAGGGTAGCACTTTCCCTGTGTGTTTCCGGGACTGGAACTCTTTGTGGGAGTAGACAGCCCTGTCTTTCTCTTTCAGAGTGGCTGGTGGTTTCAAACTGCTGAACTTGCGGATCGCAGCCCAACATGTACTCACTACACCACCATGGCTCTTGATAGTAGTTCAGTGGGTACTTGTTAGTGCAAACCAGCAACTCGGGGGGAGGTCTAATTCTTAGAATAAACCCTTATTCACATTACTCATCGTGTGCTACTCCCCTGGTTAAACCCTGCTACAGGCACCATTTTGTAAAATATAGCTGCTCAGTGAATGGTAGGAACCTTTCAGGGGATTACTCTCTGAGTGGTCTTCAACCTAAATTTGGTGCACCTTAACAGAACAATGCAGAAAACAATTATTTTATAAGTATTTAAAGAATTAAGGTCTGGACATATCTCAGAATCTTGAGTTATACATTCAGTAGAAAAAAATATTTATACTAATCAGAGAATTCATTCCTAGGAACCAGGAGACTTCAGCAACCAGTAAACATTATACTGACTACATATTAAGAAAAATACATTTGAAAAGCATTACAGGCCATTTTCTATATGATGTACTTTTATGGCTTTTAGCAGATGCAATTTTAATGCATATCTTGATATTAATCTGAAAGAAAAAACTGTTGTTTTGTTTGATTAAAGTAAAAATGTGACATAACTTAACTTGAAAATTAGTTACATGTTTTAGAAGGAACAGAGAGAAATCTTTAGAAACCACGGACCCTGGCTAAATCTTTCACATCTTAATACCAGAGAGTGAGGGAAACAGTTCACCATTTATTTTTCAAGAATAAATTATATAGAGTATAGCATAATTTTGAGAGCATTTCATTAGCTTTTTCTCCACCAAACATTTGTTTAAACGATTAACAGGTAAGGAATTTAGAATCAAAATTTTTTCTCTGAATTTAAACTCAACAAATAGTCTTTATCATCATACTCACAGTCACAATGTCAGGTGGTTCTTTAGCCTGAATTCCTTATTCTCCACAAAGTGGGGCCTTGTTGAAATCCGGGACAGTGTGGCAGTAGGGCAGGTGGCAGTGGGTGTCGTAGTCGGATGGCGGTGGGTGGGGGAGCTGCAGGAGGGCGAAAGAGTTTATGAC